AGCAGAGCTGAGGGTCCCAGAGAGCAAAAGTGTGGCCAGTACGGGGATCGAACCCACGACCTTGGCTTTATTAGCACCACGCTCTAACCAACTGAGCTAACCGGCCCCGCTCTGACTCCTTTTATCCCCAATTTCCCAGGAATATCCTAGTTGCCCTAGTCAGCTTGAAGAGATTAAAAGCAAAGCCTGAGAACGGGCTCGTCCGGGATTTGAACCCGGGACCTCTCGCACCCTAAGCGAGAATCATACCCCTAGACCAACGAGCCAACACACACATGTCCTTCCTGCTGCTGCCTGGCCGAAAACATTTCCGTTTGCCAGGCTTAAAGCACAAAGGTTTAATTAAAAGTACAACTAAACGGTAGCCAGTGCAAAGTTGCCGACACAGAGGAAATACGGTCTCTTTGCTTTGTGAGAACTTGACCTACAAAAAACGCTAGTACATATGGGCGTATGCCAAATCGATTGACCTGATGCCTGATAGGTTACAAGTTACTGGTGCCCTCCTTATGAGAACAAAATCCACATTCGATCAAAGTCGGAAGCTATTGCAGATGCTCGATGGTGTTTTAAAAGGAGTTTTGAGCAGGACCACTCTGGAACACAGGCCTCCACCACCCGGAACAAAACATGAACATTCCATGCACGCGCCACAGCAAACTTGGCAGAAGCAGGTCCCGCCGAGATTTGAACTCGGATCGCTGGATTCAGAGTAGATACGCTAATAGATACGCCCAACGTGGGGCTCGAACCCACGACCCTGAGATTAAGAGTCTCATGCTCTACCGACTGAGCTAGCCGGGCAGCCGCTGTGAGCTGCTTGGGGCTGGTCGCGGTTTTTATCCGTGCCTAAATTGCGCCCGTCATCCGGAGCCTCACATTTCGCACAAGCTTGGCATAGCGTCTCGCGGGTAAAGTCAGGGTTAAGCCTAGAGCCAGGCTCAGAGTGTACTTTGTTTGTTTAAGCCATATATGTTGTTGGGGGATACAATTTCACCCAGTAGAGCAGGCCAGTAATATGCACAATCATAACCCGGAGCTAAAGTTCCGTTTCGGGTCTGTCAAACCGGAACTTGACCTACAAAAAACGCTAGTACATATGGGCGTATGCCAAATCGATTGACCTGATGCCTGATAGGTTACAAGTTACTGGTGCCCTCCTTATGAGAACAAAATCCACATTCGATCAAAGTCGGAAGCTATTGCAGATGCTCGATGGTGTTTTAAAAGGAGTTTTGAGCAGGACCTCTCTGGAACACAGGCCTCCACCACCCGGAACAAAACATGAACATTCCATGCACGCGCCACAGCAAACTTGAGCTGATGTAAACTCTCACATAACACCCGCTGTCTTCTTTGCACACGAGGCAACTGAGCAATCATACCCCTAGACCAACGAGCCAACACACACACATCCTTCCTGCTGCTGCCTGGCCGCAAACATTTCCGTTTGCAAGGCTTAAAGCACAAAGGTTTAATTAAATGTACAACTAAACGGTAGCCAGTGCAAAGTTGCCGACACAGAGGAAATACGGTCTCTTTGCTTTGTGGGCATTGGAAACCACGCTGCAGCACTTTCACACATGCTGTGGGATGGACACCTTCTCACCACATCGTCGAGGGGAATTACACCATGGAACCACCACACGCTGGTCTCTGGCCGTCTGAGAGGCAGATAGTGATGAGGCTAGGTGGAATCAGGTTAACAGGAGATGACGTTTGCTCACTGGAGACCCTCGACCAAAAACACAGGAACCAGGTTGCTCTGCCGAAACCCGGGATCGAACCAGGGACCTTTAGATCTTCAGTCTAACGCTCTCCCAACTGAGCTATTTCGGCCAGGTCTACTGGCAAATGGTTTGTCCAGCAGGGATTTCTGGGAGACCGCCCGTCACTTTCGAGGTGAGCAGAGCTGAGGGTCCCAGAGAGCAAAAGTGTGGCCAGTACGGGGATCGAACCCACGACCTTGGCTTTATTAGCACCACGCTCTAACCAACTGAGCTAACCGGCCCCGCTCTGACTCCTTTTATCCCCAATTTCCCAGGAATATCCTAGTTGCCCTAGTCAGCTTAAAGAGATTAAAAGCAAAGCCTGAGAACGGGCTCGTCCGGGATTTGAACCCCGGACCTCTCGCACCCTAAGCGAGAATCATACCCCTAGACCAACGAGCCAACACACACATGTCCTTCCTGCTGCTGCCTGGCCAAAAACATTTCCGTTTGCCAGGCTTAAAGCACAAAGGTTTAATTAAAAGTACAACTAAACGGTAGCCAGTGCAAAGTTGCCGACACAGAGGAAATACGGTCTCTTTGCTTTGTGAGAACTTGACCTACAAAAAACGCTAGTACATATGGGCGTATGCCAAATCGATTGACCTGATGCCTGATAGGTTACAAGTTACTGGTGCCCTCCTTATGAGAACAAAATCCACATTCGATCAAAGTCGGAAGCTATTGCAGATGCTCGATGGTGTTTTAAAAGGAGTTTTGAGCAGGACCACAGGCCTCCACCACCCGGAACAAAACATGAACATTCCATGCACGCGCCACAGCAAACTTGGCAGAAGCAGGTCCCGCCGAGATTTGAACTCGGATCGCTGGATTCAGAGTAGATACGCTAATAGATACGCCCAACGTGGGGCTCGAACCCACGACCCTGAGATTAAGAGTCTCATGCTCTACCGACTGAGCTAGCCGGGCAGCCGCTGTGAGCTGCTTGGGGCTGGTCGCGGTTTTTATCCGTGCCTAAATTGCGCCCGTCATCCGGAGCCTCACATTTCGCACAGGCTTGGCATAGCGTCTCGCGGGTAAAGTCAGGGTTAAGCCTAGAGCCAGGCTCAGAGTGTACTTTGTTTGTTTAAGCCATATATGTTGTTGGGGGATACAATTTCACCCAGTAGAGCAGGCCAGTAATATGCACAATCATAACCCGGAGCTAAAGTTCCGTTTCGGGTCTGTCAAACCGGAACTTGACCTACAAAAAACGCTAGTACATATGGGCGTATGCCAAATCGATTGACCTGATGCCTGCTGGGTTTCAAGTTACTGGTGCCCTCCTTATGAGAACAAAATCCACATTCGATCAAAGTCGGAAGCTATTGCAGATGCTCGATGGTGTTTTAAAAGGAGTTTTGAGCAGGACCACAGGCCTCCACCACCCGGAACAAAACATGAACATTCCATGCACGCGCCACAGCAAACTTGGCAGAAGCAGGTCCCGCCGAGATTTGAACTCGGATCGCTGGATTCAGAGTAGATACGCTAATAGATACGCCCAACGTGGGGCTCGAACCCACGACCCTGAGATTAAGAGTCTCATGCTCTACCGACTGAGCTAGCCGGGCAGCCGCTGTGAGCTGCTTGGGGCTGGTCGCGGTTTTTATCCGTGCCTAAATTGCGCCCGTCATCCGGAGCCTCACATTTCGCACAGGCTTGGCATAGCGTCTCGCGGGTAAAGTCAGGGTTAAGCCTAGAGCCAGGCTCAGAGTGTACTTTGTTTGTTTAAGCCATATATGTTGTTGGGGGATACAATTTCACCCAGTAGAGCAGGCCAGTAATATGCACAATCATAACCCGGAGCTAAAGTTCCGTTTCGGGTCTGTCAAACCGGAACTTGACCTACAAAAAACGCTAGTACATATGGGCGTATGCCAAATCGATTGACCTGATGCCTGCTGGGTTTCAAGTTACTGGTGCCCTCCTTATGAGAACAAAATCCACATTCGATCAAAGTCGGAAGCTATTGCAGATGCTCGATGGTGTTTTAAAAGGAGTTTTGAGCAGGACCTCTCTGGAACACAGGCCTCCACCACCCGGAACAAAACATGAACATTCCATGCACGCGCCAGAGCAAACTTGAGCTGATGTAAACTCTCACATAACACCCGCTGTCTTCTTTGCACACGAGGCAACTGAGCAATCATACCCCTAGACCAACGAGCCAACACACACACATCCTTCCTGCTGCTGCCTGGCCGCAAACATTTCCGTTTGCAAGGCTTAAAGCACAAAGGTTTAATTAAATGTACAACTAAACGGTAGCCAGTGCAAAGTTGCCGACACAGAGGAAATACGGTCTCTTTGCTTTGTGGGCATTGGAAACCACGCTGCAGCACTTTCACACATGCTGTGGGATGGACACCTTCTCACCACATCGTCGAGGGGAATTAGCTCAAATGGTAGAGCGCTCGCTTAGCATGCGAGAGGTAGCGGGATCGATGCCCGCATTCTCCACGCGGTGTACTGCCCTTTTACGCTCACTTCAAAGGGATGTTCAGTTTCACCGCCACATCAGCAGTTGCGCATCAGCTCTGTTTTTTCCCGCCCTTCCGCAAAACAAGTTAAAAAGTTTCCACCGAGATTTGAACTTGGATCGCTGGATTCAAAGCCCAGAGTGCTAACCATTGCACCATGGAACCACCACACGCTGGTCTCTGGTCGTCTGAGAGGCAGATAGCGATGAGGCTAGGTGGAATCAGAAAAGTTTTTTTCGGACGAGGTCCTGCGCACATTCCTGGCAAAAGCAGGTCCCACCGAGATTTGAACTTGGATCGCTGGATTCAGAGTCCAGAGTGCTAACCATTACACCATGGAACCTTGGCATGGGTAGCCTTTTCCCACCGAGCAGCAGAGGTGTTTAGTCATTCAGCCCAGAAGCGCGACAGCAAAGAGCACGTGAAGCCTTTTCTTTTTAAGCCCATGTTTCCCCGATCTCGACTGGCTTTTAGAGTGCCAGTTTCACCGCCACATCAGCAGTTGCGCATCAGCTCTGTTTTTTCCCGCCCTTCCGCAAAACAAGCTAAAATGGTTCCACCGAGATTTGAACTCGGATCGCTGGATTCAAAGCCCAGAGTGCTAACCATTACACCATGGAACCACCACACACTGGTCTCTGGCCGTCTGAGAGGCAGATAGTGATGAGGCTAGGTGGAATCAGGTTAACAGGAGATGACGTTTGCTCACTGGAGACCCTCGACCAAAAACACAGGAACCAGGTTGCTC